GATGAGGAAAGGAGGCTGGAAAGGGGAAACATGACCCAGAAGAGAGTCATACAACATTCCAGATTATCTTTCTCAGGAAAAATATGACTTGAAGAACAAATTTGTCCTAAAATTCTAAACAATCAAGTTAGCCATCTTCTTTTAGTGCCTGCCCATCTAAAGGATTCATATAGCAGAAGATATTTGAGTTTCAATACAATTATTGGTTACTTACTATATGCGGACAATCCCGGGCATCTATTAGCACCTGATAGTAAGTATGCGTTTTGCCCTTGACTTCTTTGGAACCATGGCCTGCCGCGTTCTCGCTTCTAAAAAGAAAAGCAAAGCACTGAGCTCAAGCGCAGGATGGCAGCAAACTGTTGTTACCATGACCAAGCACATTCATAAAGAATGAGTTATTTTTTTTTAAATACATTTCACAGTCTGTAATCATTCAATTCCATCCAAATTAAACTCATGTCAGCCACCCACACGATAGATGAGCCGAGATGACAATCAACCGTGTTTGCCACAGGCACAACAGCCCTGTTTTCAGACGACTCAAAAGTTCTTCCTGTCCAATCCAGCCTCCTGTTTGGGGTGGGTTTTTCTACTGCCCTCTGATTCTCTCTCTGCTTACTCCTCATTCCTTCCCGACTCCACACGCGCACTCGCCCGGCACACCTCCAACACAGGCCAGGGGGGAAACAGATGGAAGAGGGGAGAGAGGTGAACAGTGACTCAGTCCACAAGAGGGATGAACTCGGCCTAGTGGTTGAAACTGGAGAGGCAGCTGACAAATCCAATTCACTGGCAATCTGCAGAAAAAAACAGCCTGCAATTTTAACACAGGAGCCTACACCTAACTCAAAAAGCAATACAAGGCAGGGGGGCGGGGGGGAGGTATAACAAAGAAATGCCAGCAGCATGGTTTGTCGGTTTGGGTGTTGTTTTTTTTTAGTTCCCTCACACACACACTCTCAGCCTTCATACTTCCATCCTGTCTCTAATTAACACAAAATTAATACTCATGCAATGTCTCTTCTTTAAGCACCTCTCCTAGTTTACATTCATGCAAAACAGACCCATATCATTGTCCTCTTTAGAAAGACTTGTCTACCCCAACCAGGAAACTCGCTACAAAATGTAAATGTAACAGTACAACAACATATAAAACAGAACAAATCCTTACTTTTCTGTGACAGGAGAAGCCACATCCCGATCATAAAGCCTAGCTTGCCAGGGAAACAGGACTATCCCTCGATAGCCAAACACACTGTGAAGAAATAGCTGAAAGGAACAAATAATTGTATTTGAATACACAGCAAGCTTCAATCAACTTAGATACAACAGAAAATATGATGCCAAATGCCGTCTTCTGATAGTATTTTAGAAAAATCTGCTAACTGAGGTAAAATTAGAAACATCTACAAAGACCATGAGTGCGGGCGATGGGAATACAGGGAGAATCACCACTGTGAAAACCCAGAGCAGAAACAAAGAGGGAACGTGAACAGTCTGGGATGAGAAAAGAAATTCATGTCATCTCTCTACCATAAAAGTGAATGACTAAATCAGTAACAATGTAATAGCGTGGCAGAAGTGCAGAAAGGAGAGTGCATGGGAGAGACTGCTCAGGAATGCAGAAACAGAGCTGTGAATCCTAAGTACAGAAGCAACAAGTTTAGTTGTTATTTCTCAAATTCAGTGATGCCCTCTTTTGCTCCTAGAGGGAGAAGACCCTTAAATAAAACCAGCAGAGCAAATGCCATTGTAGGAACAGTTGTGTCATGCTGCAGATTCTTATCAACTTGCTACTGTCAGATGACTGACAAACTGCAGACACAGCAGAGACAAGGAGCACTGAACTGTGAAACTTCTAGCCTTCTGCTACAATGCAGCAGCCTCCTTACGGGTAAATCACCCAGCTACATGATCCCTGTGGAACAAGCCTGCAGGATCAGCTCTGCTCCCCAGAACCACTTACCTGTCCCGTCTCATATTTGCCATGCTGCTTCGGTGCCTCAAACACCCCCACGGTCTCCAGCACTTTGCCCTCTGGACGGTTTCTAGGAGCAGAGAGGAAGTTTGGTGGGTGTGCAGGGGCTGAACCAGCCCCCAGGCCAGGGGGCACACAGCACCCAAGCCCCAGCTGGCCACGCACAGTCCCCCACCTCACACCTCCCATACGCATCCCCCACAAGAGCCCCACTACGCTGCCCAGTCACCCCTCACCACGGTCTCCAGCACTTTGCCCTCTGGACGGTTTCTAGGAGCAGAGAGGAAGTTTGGTGGGTGTGCAGGGGCTGAACCAGCCCCCAGGCCAGGGGGCACACAGCACCCAAGCCCCAGCTGGCCACGCACAGTCCCCCACCTCACACCTCCCATACGCATCCCCCACAAGAGCCCCACTACGCTGCCCAGTCACCCCTCACTTACCTGCC